CGCCCCTCAGGATGGGGCAGCCGGCCGCACCGCACCAAGCCCACCCCGCGCCGGCAGCGCCCTGACGTCACTGCTGTAGCGTGACGGTGCCGCTCGGGAGGTTGGCTGAGGTTGTGTTTGTTGTGTAAATCTGGGAGCACACTGGAGTGGTGTTAGAGCCCGGCAGGGCGCGTGGTTATCGCTGTCAGCACTGGCAGCACTTGCACAGGCACAGCTGGTGGGGCAGGTTGTCGCAGGTGAGTGGGAGAAATGAAGGACACATGAATCAAGCTCATGAAAAAATGACGACTGGGAACCAGAGAGCTTGGTCCGATGCCCCATCCGACCATCCAAACTGGAGTGTTCCCCCCCTTGTCCAGTCTGCCCTCCCTTCCTTCCTCGTGGCCGCGGTGGGCGGGCCGGGCTCCGGGCTCTGCTCCCACTGACGCTCGGTCCAGTCCTTACACAGCACCGACACAGCCACTTTTACTGGACCTCTCTGACTTAGAAGTAAATACATTGGGGGTTGCCTTTTAATTTGTATTTATACAGAACAACGGTGGGTACTTAACCTCCAAAGTACTTTAATTTTCTTTTTATTGTGTTGTTTGCCTTTGGTTTCCTCAACTTCTCATGGTTTACATTATTTTCTTGGTTCCGTGGACGTATGATCCGCATGCACATCTGTTGTGGGAGTGACTGCCCAGGGCATTCCTAACCTGTATCCAGAAAATGTTAGTTTAGAGAACACGAGTTCTTGTTGTGTAGATCTTATCAGCCAGCATGAGAGGACAGCGAGCCTGCCCTTGAAAAGCGCTGGTAAGTTTGTAACTTAGGTTTAAAGTCTTTGAACTTACATGTGCTTTAAACTTGCTTCCTGAGGGGATTCAACCTGGTTATTTATAGGCAGAGGGTGAGGATTTGCTTTTCTGGCGCATATAGCAATAAAGACTTTTGCTTCTGAATCTCGATCTCTAATTCACGTGGACCCTTTTCAGATGCTGAACCCGTGTTGCCCTGCCCCTCTTCTCTTTCATCCTGAGACTGCTAGAAATCTGTCTTTGTTTAATGGTGCTTCAAACAGGAATGTATTTCAGCTAGTCCGAGTTCACTATCCCGGGAATCATGCATGTGTGTGTGAGTAGGTGTTAAACTACCTTAATCGGGATCCTCAGCCTTTGATGTGTACCTGACACCCATCGCACCTTGTGTTGAACAAAAAGCCGTTACCTCTGCTCAGAAATGCACTCTACGGTTGGCACAGAAGGGTCCATTCCCCCCAGCAGCATCCCTCTTCATAGTTCCTTTGTTCTAATCACGTTGAATTTTTTCTTTCCCTTTTTAAAATGTGGGATATCTGAAAATGTGCACTGTTAATCTTATCAGCTATGTCAAATACTGTATAGTAAGTGTAACTGTTAAAAACATACTGTCAAGCGCATGTGCTGTTATGGTGTAAAAATTCTCGTATTAAGGAGAACTTGTACATATTCTGGCAGCTGAAATTCGACAAGGCCACTCGTTCGCCCCTTCCATGTCAACACCATTGGTCAGCCCCGCTGGAGGGCAGGTCCTGTTTGATGCTGATTTCTTTTTTTTGTTTGTTTTTGTTTTAAATGAGCCATGAGGGTTTTATTTGCAAAACTATTTATTGACAGTTGTTATCTGTAAAGCTCTGCTTCTCTAAGGGAGATACCGTCTGAGCAACAGCCACGCGCTTAGGGTCGCTCGCCATCAGGAGTGGCTGTAAACTCTAGTAGCTTTCCATCACCATGGCTTTTGAGCTTACTGTTATGTTTTTAAGAGGTGCCAGGGGGACATTTTTGCACTGAAGACTAGTGTTTTAAAACACACACACTTCTCAGCAAAGCAATCCTTTGTGTCATTACATTTATTTACCCATGTGTTTGTACATTTTTGTATTTGTTAATTTATGAATGATTTTTTCAGTAAAAAATACATATTCAAGAACAAATATTGCACTACTTGCTTTTTTTATTGGAGGGTTGGGATGTGCTTTTCTTATAGGAGGGGAGATCTATAAGCCCAGAGGGGTAAGTGCGTATCAGAGTTTGAGTGGAGAAGGATGAGCCCTGGATGCTCAAAGCTAGTTAGAAATTTCTCATTAGGGTTGGCCAGAAGTAAATTGAGCGCAGGATGGGGATGTTCCCCAAGCTGTTACTGCTCTGTACAAGTAAAAGGCTGTTTTCCAAGCGTCTGCTTCAGTGTAGTACTGATGGAGGGGCCCGCTGCTCTGGGAGAGGTGGGTTTAGAAGGATATTTGGCTGAAGGTGTTGCAGGACTCGAAGATGCTGGTGGGGAGGGTTGATAATTAGATTTTTTGATCAACAAACCCAGGCAGACATACAAGGTTCCTTGCAGCAGCTTTAAAATATCTTTCTCCTGCTCTGCAGGGTACAGGCATGCTAGAATAAATAGCTGGCAGCCCTGGATTGTTCCAGGCATTGCCTTTATTTAGCTCACTGTCTTCTGGGAAGCTTCCTCCCACCCACGGCATGGGCTGGGGCCTGCGGGGTGGCAGGGCTCCATTCGGCCACTGCCACCCGCCCTGGCACGATGGCCTCGCCTCCCCCTGCGTTTGCAGGAGTGAGGATGGGGACCCGTCTCTCTCCTGGCCGTGCTCTGGTGGGAGACCCTGACCCCAGTTTGGGTGGATCCCCGTGGCTGTGTGCCTCCACAGGTACCCTGACTGGGGGGGTTCATTGCCTGTGTCAGCCCTGCAGCAGCTGGGCTGGAGGGGGTGGATGCACATGTAGACATCTGGGGTTGCCCCTATGCAGGGAGAAATGAGAAGGCGAGTGAAGCCTCCAGCCCGCATCCCAGGTGTGGGGCGGGGGGACCCCTCACCAGGGTCAGCTGCAAAAGAGCTGGGAGCAAACCCCCTTTTGCGTGGGCTGTGCCAGGAGGGTGCCAAAGAGAGGAGCCCTGCGAGGGACCGGCATGGCAGTGAGCTCCAGCA